TAACGCGTCTTAGGGCCGTAGTGCGGTAGTGACACTTTTCCGGACATGGGTCCCTATACTCAAATGTTTTCTACTGTTGCACTGAATAACCCCTAGAAGTTTGATCCCATAGTTCTGAAACACCCTGTATATTGTATATATATATGTTTTTGAGCATATAAGTATGTATATACAAAAAACGAAAAAAGGAGAACCGTACTTTTAAATTTACATATTGTATTAGTTTGTCAGAACAAAACCAAAATGCATAACCTTTTATTAGAACGTAGTTGGAATTAATTACGGAAATCGTGTCGGATTATTTCGAATTTCCGCGCGCGGTGTGTACAACGTGCCGTACTGCTCGCGGTGTGATAGAAAAGTTTTATTTCAAACAAGTCTCTATTCGGAGTCTCTCGTATGATCGTCTTTGCTTTCTATCTTTCTCTTTCAATCTTTTTCTTATTAGGTTTAAACTCACTTTTAAGAAACGTTGTTTTATAGATATCATGTAATATGTACGTAATAAGGAAATGGTGATACAGTTATCAGTGACGCGTATGTTTGCGCATAAGATAAAAATATACATGGTTATTTTAGTATCACGATATGTGACAAAGAAATATATTTTCTTTTGCCATAAAACCTTACTGATAATCACATTTCTACCGTATATAAACTCTGTGCACTGAAACGAAGAAATCTACAACATTCAAGTCAACTTAAAGTACCTATAATTTTAGTAAGCACTAGACAAAATGCATTTATCATTTTTGGCAGTGACTATTGCTATCATCTTTGTCTTGGCAATTGTGTACGCTCCTGTGGAAACAACTGGTATCGCCGAGATAAGCTATAAGTGGAGTGCAGCACAGCTTTACAGTGCGATTAAAGGCAATGTAAGTGTACTTTGTACATTTTATTTAAAACTCATTATTTAAGTGTGTTCCGTCAAATCTTATTTGATATTTTGTGTGTCTGTTTTTTGTAGATAAACCCAGAACTTTCATTAAAATGTCCTGATTTAAAAGTGAGTATATAAATACTATATGAGATTAAAATATATAAGAAGTTGCTTGATAGTAACATTAAACACATATTATTTTATTGTTTAGAATACAAAGTTGGGTGCACTGTGTTATGTGAGTATATACATATATACATTATATGAAAATAAAATATGTGTGAGAGTGCTTGATAGTAACATTAAACAAATATTTTATCGTTTAGATGCTGAATTTTAAATAATAAGTATATCGATCAGTTATAGCAGGACCTATGTGACATATGATGTGTAATATTACGATTTATAATTATAATATGTACGCACACAATACATTTCGATCTATATAAGTAGGAATAAATATAATATTAGCATCAGTAAAAATGGTGTTTTCTGTACAAAACATACAAATGTAACAACTATAATACTATCTTTTCTTGTTTCGTTTTTAACTTGTACACATTTTCGAATGTTATACAATAAATGTAGTAGTTAAAACTGGTTAATACTTCGATAAAGAGTAGTGTTTTATGTATTTTATTTTAAACATAAGAAAGAGATAAATATCTAATACATTATTTTTTGTGTATATCAAAAAAGATTTATGTATGTAGAAAATATTTAATTTTACAAGTTATTCTTTCTGTTTTTCTGTGTCCTTCGATTTTATGTTAAGCGCAGAAAGGGACCTATCATGTTACTTTTACTTTTTCCTGTTTTTTTTCGTCACAAACAATTAGTATCGTAAATAAAGAGAATCTTGATAGACAAGATTTCTTTTGCTCAGATCGACGGTTGCACAGCAACCTTTACGATCTCTAGATTTAGAGATCGTAAAGTAGCGTGATACCGGACCGGTGGCATGATAGTGAAAATCACAAAGTCGATCCGTAGTCGAGAGACGAGAGATCCTCTGTCTATTAAGTCGATTAGTTGTTGACTTTTGAGTGTTTTTGTTTTTTCGTTTGCACATCCATGACGCGAGCCTCCAACTTAGTTGCTGCACGCGATGCTTCGATTATACAGATCAAGAGGCACGGTAGTGCTTTCCACCAAGTACACGAGCATCGAAGTGGCGCTCGAGCTGCGCAAAGCTGTGCCACGTATACGCAAAATTCATGCAATTGAGAAGTGAGGAGATTTTCTCAAGGCAATATTTAAGTAACGATTGAATCGATCAATTTTGTTTAGTTTAAATCGAATTAGAATAAAACATTTGAAAAAAAGTATCCAGTTTTGGATACTGTCGCCTCCGACGTACTTCCGCAGAAGCAATGTAAAACGATGTAACAAAATTAAAAGGCTCAGTCGATTGGCTCTCTTTAACGTTCTGTACGGGTTATAGATCTATAAAGCCATTGATCAATCACGCGGTATCGTGCGGACGCACGACTTGTCTTATAGCCGCGATCGTTCCGCGAGTTTGTGTGGTTACAAAACGTTTATAACAACGAAGCCCAGCTGTACTCATGTAATACCAATCGAGTCTCGCTCTTAAAGTCTTCTATTTTAGTGTTATCCGAATGATTAATTAGCACTTCTGATGATTGCGCTTAATTAACGGTGATGACTTGCTGAAATCTAATTGGTTCCTATAGCAGAAAATTTCTCTTTTCATGCACATGTTCATTACACATTTATTATTAATTGGATACCAAACAGACAAAGAAACTAATTGTCTTTAGACAATTCGTTAAAGACAAGCACTAAATTGATCGCAGACTTTTCAATGATCACTGTACAAGTATACGGTAATATGTTTTGCTATAAAATAATTTGACACAAAGATGTCAGACGCAATTTATTTGCACATATTTACTAGACACAATATTATATTGTTGGAACAACATGTATGGATATAAAAGAGAAAGTAAGATATATTGTTAGTATGTTTTATACAAAAAACACACACAATGTTTTACTAATGCAAAGATTATATTTATTTCTTTTTATATAGATCCGAATGTATTGTGTGCACACATGTTATAATTGTAAATCGGTCGGATATATTACACATCTCATATCGCATAGGTGTTGTTATAGTGATTGACACGTTTCTTTATTCAATATGTAGAATCTAAACAGTAAAAAAATTTGTTTAATAGTGCAATCAAGCAATCTGTTACATATTTTATTCTCATATAATATATATATACTCACATGACACATTACGCCGAAGCAATCTCGGAGCTAAACAATAAAATCATATTTGTTTAATGTTACTATCAAGCAAGCTCTTATAAAGTTTATTCTCATACAGTATCTATATACTCACTTTACAAACATTTACTAATTGGTCCTTTATCTACAATAAAAACACAGACAAAGAAAATATCAAGTGAAATTTGACGGAACAGACTCTAATATTCAGTTTAAAACAAAATGTGCAAATTATACTTACGCTACTAATTATTGGAATATGGCTTTTGTTCATGAACTTATATTTCCTTTCTAATTTTTTTAATGTATTTGTAGGTAACTCTTTGGTTCTCACACCGCGTTTCCGACAGGTTTGTTGACCGGCGATCATAGAATCGTGCACAATTGCCAAGATAAAGATGATGGCAATAGCCATTAACAAAAATGACAAACGCATTTTTTTTATTAGTTACTAAAAAAAACTTCAAGTTACTTACTAATTAGTTACTAAACTTCAACTTGACTTGAATGTTTTGTGATTTCTCCGCTCCGGTGCACAGAACTTATATATGCTAAAAATGTGATTATCAATAAGTTTTTATGACAAAAGAAAATATATATATATTTTTGTTTTGCAAGAACATTTTTATCTTATGCGGAAACATATGCGTCACTGATAGCTATATCATTATTTCCTTATTGCGTACATATTATATGATATATAAAAACGTTTCTTATATATATATAAAACGTGAATTTACAACTTATACTGTTAGAAGAGAAACTACTTTACGATTTATGTAAAGAATATAGAGATGCCAATAAATTTTTATTATTAACATAGAATTTTTATCATTAACATAAAAATTACAAACTATAAAAACTTATCGTAGCACAGTGTACGTCCTACAAAAATAATTATATAATATGTGTAACTATATATTAAATTTTTATTTTATACCATTTGTACGATATATACTATATATGTATGTATTACATAGATATGTTTTTGAGCATATAAGAAGGTATACACAAAGAACAAAAAGAGAGAACCGTATTTTAATTTCTAGAGATTGTATTAGTCAGAACAAAACCGAAACGCAATCTTGTATTAGAACAAAAACGAAAAAGATTACGAAAATTGTGTTGCGTTATTTCGAATTGCCGCGCGAGGCGTGTACGATGTGCAATACTGCGCGCATCGCGACAAAGAGAAGTTACTCATTTCGAACAGTCTACTTTTAGGATCTTGTATATATTCCTCGTTTTTGTCGCTTTTTTTCTCACTCTTTTTCTCAATATTTTTTAACTCACTTTTAAGAAACTTTTTTTTTATAGATATCATGTAATATGTACGCAATAAGAAAATGGCGATACGCGTATGTTTCCGCAAAAGATAAAAATATAAATAATTGTTTTAGTACCACGATATGCGAAAAGGAAATATATTTTCTTTTGTCATAAAAACTTAGTGATAATCACATTTCTAGCTTATATAACCTCTGTGCACCGAAGCGGAGATATCAAAGTCGTTCAAGTCAAGTTGAAGTAACTTGAATTTTAATAAGAACTAGACAAAATGCGTTTATCATTATTGGGAGTGACTATTGCCACCATATTTGTTTTGGCAATTGTGCATGCTCCTGTAGAAGCAAATGCTGTCGCCGATCCGGAAGCCTGGTGGATTTTTGATAATTGGGGCATAGAAAGGCTTTATAACCAACTTAAACATAAAGTAAGTATAATTTTCACATTTCTTTTAAACTCAACATTTAAATGTTTCGTCAAATCTCATTTGATATATTTTGTCTTATTATTGTAGATAAGCGATATAGAAACAATAGGATTAGAAGTACTGTGTACAGTGAGTATATAAATACTGTATGAGAATAAAATATATAAGATCTTGTTTGTCAGTAACATTAAACACATATTATTTTATTTTTTAGGATGTTCATTTAGAAATGTTTTGTGCGGTAAGTATATAAACACTATATGAGAATAAATTATGTATAAGAGATTGCTTAATGTGGTAACAAATATTTTTTTGTTTAGTTGGTGAGTTTGTTTGAAAATCTTTGATTGAAAATAAGTGTGTCGACCAGTATAGCAGAACCTATGCGATATATGATGTGTAATCCGTCTGATTTATAATTATAACATGTGTGCACACAATACATTTGGATCTGTATAAAACAAAATAAATATAATCTTTTCATCAGTAAAATATATGGTGTGTTGTTTGTGCAAACTTAGTAACAAACCGTAATTAAATATTTCTTGTTTTCTTTTCAACTTCCACACATTTTCGAATAATCATAAACTAAAAGTAATAGTTAAAACCGGTAATAATTCGATAAAGACGTAGTGTTTTATGTATTTTATCTAACACATAAAAGAGAAAAATATCTAATAAATTTTTCTTTGTGTATATCACGACAGATTTATATATGTAGAAAATATTTAATTTTACAAGTTATTCTATTTATTTCTCTCTTTTATATTAAACGCAGAAAGCATAACTTACGTGAACGGGCTCCTATAATGATGTTACTCTTTATTGTTTTTTCTTTGCCACAAACAGTCAGTATCGTAAATTCAGCGCATGCTGAATTCGAAAAGTGTGCACGTTTAGTAAACACTAAATTTTATATGACGCCTATAGGTAGTGTACACGCCGGACACTTACACGTGGGCGTGTACGTATGCGCCGGTATGATTTACGGGGTTGTTACAACGGCAACTAGGCACAATGCGAGTGCTCACCGAGAATACTGTCGAAGTCTCTTCGTGTATACTTTTTAGGCTGTGCCACGATATAACATTTCCCCACCAGAGTAAGTACAAGTCCGCGGTCGACTGCTGCATTCCGGCCTTAACAGTGCGCGTCGCGAAATTGCATGCAATTTTTGTGCCTTTATTCTATATCGGCGAGAACGTGCGATATAAGCCCGACATTAAAGCGTGAAGCGTCGATAGAGCGAGATTTTTTGGTAGGAAGTATTTTTATGCTTTACTTTTTTCTTTTCATATAAGAAACGTAAATGAAGTGTAATGACCGGTCGTCTATAGAAGCCGGCCAATTGCGGTCTAAGGAACCGCATCTCGAAAACTCGAGAAGAAGAAGAAAATTTATTATGCGAACGCTCGTCTAAGATGCTAAATCGATTATTCAGCTTTTTTCGACACACACGAACGAGAACGGTGGGATTTGCGATAGGAAGAAAACGAAGTGAAACGAAGTAGTCACGCGCTCTTTCTTTCCCTTTTCTTCTCTGAAACATCGTGCCAAATAATAGATTTGTTAACTTACTGTCAAAGCTTTAGAGCGTTTATACATAGGCAGAGTCGACGTTGATCAGCTGTTCTCGCAAAGTCAATTTGCCAATGTTTTAAAAATATTTAGTTTAACAATAAATGAGTGTAACAATTAAATTTAAAATTTTTATAAAAAGAAGAAAAAATAGAAGATACAGAACAACATAAAGAATAGAATAAGATGAATATAAAATTCAATAAATTTTATTTACATTGGTGATGAAAAATAAGATTAGGATTTGTTGCCGATTTTTCTGCTTTACACACACAATATTTCACTATTTTATTGTAATTAATACTATAAATTGAATGAAATATGAGCATAGTAAAAACTAGATCCCTAATAATCAAGACCGATACATAATATTTGTTGTTATAGAGTTATCTCAATTGTCTCCCAAGTGGAGAGTCTCCACTTCAAATGCTGAAAGACAAAGACAGAAATACAAAAGGAAGCATCTGTCTTGCTCTAGGTTTTGACTCACTTCCTCTCTCACATGCGCAATCTATTTCATATATGTCTATGGTACAGCGACGTATCGCGCGACTTGCGCACGCGCGTATCAAATCGCACGATCAAAAAAAGCGCTACAATTAAATTTGTAAGTTAACAACCGCGTAATTAGATGCAAAGATAACGTATTGTATAATGCGCGTTGTAAGTTTTTACTTTTTGTGTGAATTTTTTTTGTTTGCTTCTTTGAGAGGTCTTCGACTTTTTTTAAGAAAAAGGCGTAATATATAAATATCGTGTAATTTTTATATCGTAAAATAAAATGACTTTTGTTACGAACAATTATAACACTGGTCTCGCAATCGAAGGCGTGATAATTAATTGTGAAAGAAAGAGAGAGACTTCGGATACTGTCGCTCCTAACGTACTTCCGCAGAAGAAATGTAAAATAATGTAAGAGAATTAAAAGACTCACTCAATTGTCTCCTATTATTGGTTTTGCTTGGATTATAAATTCATAAAGCCATTAATTACTTACGCCGCATCATTGTGCGGGTGCGCGACTCGCCTTATTGATCGTTCCGCGAGTCTGCGTGCTTACAGAAAGTTTATAACACGTAGCTCAGCTTTACTCATGCAATACTAATCGAGTTTCGCGATTGAAGTCATCTACCTTAATGCTAGCCGAAAGATTAATTAGTACTTCTGATGATTGCGCTTAATTGATGTAACTTACTGATCTAATTGGTTTCCGTAGCAAAAAATTTCTATTTACGTGCACATGTGTTCAGTACACATTTCTTGTTAGTTGGATAACAAACAGACAAAGAAACTAATTGTCTTAAACTAATTGTCTTTAGACAATTAATTAAAGACAAACAATAAATTGTTGGCAGAATTTTCAATGAGCACTGTTCAAGTATTCGGTAATATGTTTTGCCTTAAAATAATTTGACACAAAGATGTCAGACGCAATTTATTTGCAAACATTTACTAGACACAATATTATATTGTTGGAACAACATGTATAGATATTAAAGAGGAAGCAAGAAATATAGTTAGTATGTTGTGTACAAAAGACACACACACACACAATGATTTGACTGATGCAAAGATTATATTTATTACTTTTTATATAGATCCGAATTTCTTGTGTGCACACATGTTATAATTGTAAATCGGTTCAATATATTACACATCTCATATTGCATATATGTCCTGTTATATTGATCGACACGCTTCTTTATTCAATTTGCAGAATCTAAACAGTAAAATATTTGTTTAAGGTTACTATCAAGCAAATTCTTACACATTTTATTCTCATTTAGTTTTTTATACTTACTCCACAAATTCCTTCGAAACAAGATTCCATCTAAAGAATAAAATAATATTTGTTTAATGTTACTATTAAGCAAGCTCGTATATACTTTATTCTCATACAATATCTATATACTCACTGTACAAGCCTTGTCTAATTTGGGTTTTAGCTACAATAAAAAACAGATGAAGAAAATATCAAGTGAAATTTGACGAAAACACTTTAATATTAAGTTTTAAACAAAATGTTCAAATTATACTTACATCAGCCAAAACTTGAACATGCCTGTCGGTTATATTATGGAATGTGTCTCTTATCTTTTGTACTAAGGTTTTTGCGGCTTCTGGATCGGCGATCACAGGAGCGTGCACAATTGCCACGACAAAGATGATGGCACTAGCCACTGACAGTAGTGACAAACGCATTTTTATTAGTGCTCACTAAACTTCAAGTTACTTCAACTTGACTTGAATGTTTTTAATTTCTCCGCTTCGGTGCACAGAGCTTATATATACTAGAAATGTGATTATCAATAAGTTTTTATGACAAAAGAAACTGTATTTTCTTTTCGCTAAACCATTTTGATTTTATGCGGAAATATACGCGTCACTGATAGTTATGTCATTATTTCCTTAATGCGTACATATTTTATGATATATAAAAACGTTTCTTAAAGCGTGAATTTACAACTCATGCTGTTAGAAGAAGAACTACTTTACGATTTATGTGGAGAATATACAGACAACAATAAATTTTTATCATTAACATCAATGTAAAAAATACGATCTATAAAAACTTATCGTGGCGCAATGTACGTCCTTCAAAAATATTATGTATACCTATATATTAAAGTTTTACTTTATAATTATATATTGTTCAAATATAATATACTTATATTTGAACGATATATAATGTACATGTATTATATACATATGTTTTTGTGCATATAAGTATATATACACAAAAAACAAAAAGAGAGAACCGTACTTTTAATTTTAGAAATTTGTATTAGTTTGTCAGAATAAAACCAATCAGAACGAAACGCACAAACTTTTATTAGAACGTAGACGGAATTTATTACGGAATTTGTGTTGGATAATTTTGAATTGCCGCGCGCGGCATGTACAACATGCCTTACTTGCCTGCGTTGAGAGGCAAAGAGTAGTTACTAATTTCGAACAAGACTGTATTTGAAGTCTCGCGTGTGTTTCTCGTCTTTGTCGCTTTTTTTCTTTTTCTTCTCTTTCTATCTTTCTCACTATTTGTGAACTTATTTTTAAGAAACATTGTTTTATAGATATCATATTATATGTACGCAATAAGGAAATGGTGATACAGTTATCATTAATGTGTACAATTGCGCATAAAATATAAATATAAATGGTGTTTTATTATCACGATATGCGAAAAGAAAGTATTTTTGTTTGTCATAAAAACTTATTGATAATCATATTTGTAGCATATATAAGCTCTGTGCACCAAAGCGAAAAAATCAAAAACATTGAAGTCAAATTAAAGTAAGTTAAATTTGTAAGCACTAAACAAAATGCGTTTATCATTTTTGGCAGTGAGTATTGCCATCATCTTTGTTTTGGCAATTGTGCACTCTCCTGTAGAAGCAACTGCTGTCAATCTGAAAGCGTTGTCCCCAACACAGCTTTATGAGAAGATTAAACATGTAGTAAGTGTACTATGCACATTTTGTTTTATTAACTCATTATTTACATAAGTGTGTTTCGTCAAATCTCACTTGATATTTTCTGTATCCTTTTTTTGTAGCTACACCAAGGATTAAGAGCACTTTGTAATGTGAGTATATACCTACTGTATGAGAATAAAATATCTAAGAGCTTGCTTGATATTAACATTAAACAATTATTATTTTATTGTTTAGAATTTGGAGGATTTTGCTGCATTTTGTGAAGTGAGTATATATACACTATATGTATGAGAATAAAATATATAAGAGATTGCTCGATAGTAACATTACACAAATATTTTATCGTTTAGATGCTGGATCGTATTAGAGATTAAGTGTGTCGATCAGTATAGCAGGACCTATGCGACATATGATGTGTATAATATTTGTTTGATTTATAATAATAACATGTGTGCACACAATACATTCGGATCTATATAAAATAAAATAAATATAATCTTAGCGTCAGTAAAACATGCTGTTTTTTGTACAAAACATACTAACAACCGTAATTAAATATCACTTCTTGTCTCCTTTTTAACTTGTACACATTCTCAAATGTCATGAAATAAAATTAGTAGGTAAAACTGGTAATAATTTGATGAAGATGTAGTGTTTTATATATATTTGTTCTAAGACATATAAGAAATATATATTTAATAAAATATTCTTTGTGTATATCAAAACAGATTTATATGTAAAAAATATTTAATTTTACAAATTATTTTCTCTATTTCTCTCCTCCGATTTTATGTTAAGTGCAGAAAACATAACTTGCGAGAACGGACCTATAATAATGTTACTTTTTCCCGTTTTTTTTCGCCACGAACAGTCAGTATCGTAAATACAGCGCATGCTGAATTCGAAAAGTGTTCTTTTCGTGCACTTTTAGTAAACGCTAAGTCTCATATAACGCCTATAGTGTACACGCGCGGGACAGTTACACGTGGGCGTGTATGTGCGCAGCTATGATCTACAGGGGTTGTTACAACGGCAACAAGGTACGACGCGAGTGCTCACCAAAATTACCGCCGGAACCTCTTCTTCTATATACTTTTTGGCCCTTGAAAGACCAAAGAACCACAATTTATATCTGTCACGCATACTTATATCGACAGATGTGTAGCTCGTCACAACAGTGCTATACCGTAAAAATAAAGTCTTAATAGATGTATTTGTATATAACTCTTTATAAGTATCTTATAAGTAATGATTAATATATTCACACATATATATATAATTATAAAATAAAAGGTAGATATACATGAGAATGCCACTATACTTTTATTGTGTAGACAATAATAATAATATAAGGCCCTTAAATATATGATTACACGATCAGCAGGATTATTATTCTTCGTTAGTAGAAAAAACCAATCTTACTGTTTTTTAATTACTTGTTAGTGTCTATTTTAAAATATTAATTTAATAACAATTTAACATTATCTTAACAATTTGGGTAAGTGTATCGAATAGGGGAGCCCTTTCCGATTGTTTTGAACTTGACATATGTTATAAAGATTATCATTCTGAGTAACAATAAAAAAGTCTTAGCCGTCGCTCGTTGTTTATTAAAAAGCTATAAATAAAAAAAGTTTCATCAATAAACCATCGTTTTCTGATATCGTATACGTTTCACAAATAAATGTATAAATGTATATGTTTCCTAATATATGTGTTACACACAAATACATTTAGCATACAACACGCGTGAAGCAGGTCCTCCTGCGGGTGGGTTTCACTATCAAATAGTATATATTTTGTTACTTGATAATGGAACTTCCGCAGGAAGGGGCCTGCTCCATGCGTATACTTTCCATGCACAAAGCAAGATTCCACGATGCGCATCGCTTGTCAATATACAGTGTTATCGCAGTGATCAGATAGATTTTTTTAGGAGAGGGAAAGCAGGCAAATAAGTTATAACTTTCTTCTGCTTAGACGTGTACAATAATGTGTATAATATGAACAAAATATTTACTTCTCAAATGTACAAGATGTGGACAAACGATTTTACTTATGAAACTTTTTTTGTGTTTAACTTTTTAATAAACAATGAGAGACGGATAAAACTTTGTGGAATGTATTTCGGAGAATGATCATTATAATATATCTCAAAGTCAAAGAAATCGGAGGGCGCTCTTTTATTTGATACATTTACTGCTTCGTTAGTTTTACGTCCCGAAAATAACAACGCAGATTATGAGAATTTATTGTAATTTAAGTTCTCCGTTGTAGTTTGTTGTTTCGCTTCGGGAAGGTAACGTTTATACTGTTCCTCAATTAAGAGTGTTCTTTCTATGCGTTCGCTGGCGATGCGTTCGATTTCCGCGAACAATTCGCTGTTTACGTCTACGCACTGACGAAAGTTCTTACGATCGAGCCGATAAACCTCGCAGACGTCGACTGCGATGACACTGGCTATTCTACGATGATCCGTCAGTAAAAGCGCGATTTCGCCGAAGTAAGCGCCGTCTTCCAAGTGGCAGATCTGAGAAGAAAAATTTTTTGAAGATTTTTTTTTTTTTTTGTTAAATTTTAATCAACAACTAATCAACAACCAACCTCTTTCCCAGTTGGCGTTAAAACCGAGACAATTCCGAAGGAGAGAAAGAACATGCAGTCACCCTGAGTGCCGGATTTGATGATTACATCATTTGGCAAATACAACTCGAACTTCAACTTGTTCATCAGTAACTGGAGAACGTCGTTCGGTAAATGTTTGAAGATCGCTACGTTCTCGATTAATCGTCGACAGGAATGAAATGCAACCTCCTGGCGTAGTAGTTCTTGAAGAGGTGTACGTTTTTTTTAATTAAATATCAAAATTTTTAATATATATTTCTTTAGAAAAGATGAATTTTTTTCTCAACAATGAAATTTTCGTACGTTATATAAATACGTGTCTTTTTATATTTTTGTTTATGTATTACAGTTATATACTTGAAGAGTTTTCTGTTTACCTGTCAAATCTGACAAAATACGCTTGGTGCGGAAGTAACTTCCCCTAAAGCGATAATGATAATAAGCTAGAATGCGCTCTCTTATGTGCGGCAATAGATTTTTGTGTTTCACATAGGCTTGCACTTGATTTATTATCTCTTCGTATTGCACTTCAGATATTTTGCTCTCAGCCGTGAAACGAAACAACGCGACTAAAAAATAACAATAACATATCTCTAAACATTAATCAAAGGAAACACACATCGATCAACGTACTACACAGTACATGTGTCGAAAGACAAACATCTTACTCAAAATGTAACACGCAATGAATTTGCCGCTGATCATAAGAAGGCTAAATAAAATGGCGATACTGGTCGTTTTGGGTGGATATCGGCCGTAGCCACTCGCCATTATGTTTATCACCGCGATGTACACGCTGTTTTTAAATCTCAGTCGAAAACTGTCGTCTTCCAAGTCCTCCATCCAACAATCCTCGCAGTCCTTTTTGTAAGACATCAAAATTATTGCAACAAATTTCAAGTTTGTGAAAGTTTACAACTAGCCGATAGTTTAAGGTCAATACGTGCCATTGTACATAAAAATACATTTTTAAATAAAATTGTAAATTGTGTAAATTACAATAAATTAATGATTTTATTAATTAAATAATAATTTCATTATGCATTATTATCTTCACGTGTGATTCGTTATTACACAGATATACACGTTTACCGTTGGTGGGATGTTGAAAAGATATATCACGAAAATCGGTGTAAAGTAAGTCAGACAGGAAAACCAAACGATCAAATATAGCGCCAGCAATAGGGTTTTACATAAGTTGTAGTTTTGTATTCCTAAATACTGAGAGACATTTAAAAAAATCGATAAGACGTGTTTTCTATATATCTTTGTAAGAAATTTATCGAGGAAATATCTACCGTAAATAGATGATTAATGTTCGACTTGAGAGTGCTATAACGTGTCAACTTTAAGAGAGGCAGGAGATTGATTAAGGTGACGGCAAAATGCGAACCGTCTCCCGGAAGTCTTCGCCACGGCATTGTCAAATGATCGTACGGGAGAGAAGATAGCGCATCCAGAACGAAATATCCTCTTAGATAAAAACTGCAGAAAAAGTAGTGCGCGCAACTATCGTTAGCGGGAATTATATTAGCGGAAATGATCGATCACAAAACCTCATTGTGATTGCGAGATCTTACGTAAATATTCTACCGAGCTTCAATTCGACAGACATATTTTTCTCGTCGCAATATCCCGTAACGAAATTGAACGCTACGTCTATCCAGCAGATCGCGTAAATCGGAATGTTCACTTTGTCCAAACGAATGGATTTGTAGTCCATTACAACGAAGCAGATCATACAAGGAATGGTAAAGAAAGCAATCAGATATATTGCCGTCATAAAGATTTCCCATAAAAATCTGTAAAATTTTATTGTGTAAAATATAATATACATCTTCTTCTACTGTGCATTAAAAAGCAAATATTGCATCTCTTTAAATATAAAGTTTTAAAGATAATCTGTGTTTGTATGTGTATAGAATATAGATATATTACATGTAAAGAGAGAAAGAGAGAGAGAGAAAGAGTAAAAAAGAAGAAAAAGAGAGAGAATTAAAATACGTTATATAATGTACCTAACATAACTGAATGGATGTATTATCCACCAGTGATTAAGTGCAGCATGCCTGTTTCTCTCGGCAGTTATTTTGGCCGTGCTGTCCATGTAAAGAGCACATTTCGGAGTGTATTTGCTGATGCCGCACCAAGATATCCACAGATTCTTTAAAGTTAATGGTTTCACACGCACAAACGGATATTCGCTTACTTTTCTCACATACAGTTCGCACTTGTGTTTATTCATAATGCATTAGCGTGAATAAAACTTGAGCTTTTTCGTCGTCGCTAAAGTCTCAAATTGGCAATATCAGGTTAAGTTAGTGATATCTGCGAAATGTTACGCTTTTCTCTTTGAAAAAAGAAAGAACTTCTACTGTTTTCTAAAAAATATTGTTTTACAAATTTCAACTCATTGTTGAAACATTAACTCTTTTTTTCTTTAATTTTTTAGTTTTTTATATATAAATTATCCTAAAAATTGAATTATTTCTGCAAAAAGTGATTATTTTATGTGTCGCGCTTTGGAATAAATTTTTAGCACAAAAATGTCAAAAAGTCTTAACTGCGACGCAATCGCAATCTGATTATGTAAGCTATTATGTTATAAATTTCTTTAGACAAGAAATTGTGTTTTATTTATTATAGTTAAACATTTTTCAGGGGTCGTAACATTTCAGAATATAAATATTGGAAAAATGTGTGTGAGTGTGTGTGTAAGTGTGTGTATATAATATTACATTATTAAAACATATCTATTATATTAATATTTACATAACGTAATGGAAGTATGATAAAGTTGATAATTTGGCCACACGGTCTGGAGAAACACCAGTGGTTTTATCTCTTGGATCATTTGCGTCCGTTAACGCGCAAGTTAAGCGTTTTTTAAGTATATATATATATAATATATATAATATATATATAATATATATATAATATATTGGAATGTGTGGTTTAACTTTTCTAGGATACGAGTTTGCAAAAATCTTAGAAAGTACTTGAGTACTAGAGATACCGATTGTTACATATATATGTATATATGTATATATATTATGTATGTATGTATATACGAAAATTAGAAATTTACATGTTTCGATAAATATTAATTATCAAAATCCGTCGCTTTGGAAGTATTTGAGTATTGATTATGTCAAGTAAAGAGGAAGAGCACATTGTATACAAGTATTTTTCGTCCCAACCGTTACATAGACCTGTTAAGTCAGTGTCTTGAGTATACGTATCAAAGACTGAAGACAGTTTTCAACTGTTACTTTCCATAGGACGTGAATCTTTTCACCCCTCCCGTAACGTCATCTTCTTCACCCGATCGTAACGATCGTTTGAGTCGTCGCAAATTGCATGTTACACAGCGCGCGGTATATAACGTTTCGTGCGTGATTGTGATCCTTACACAACGATACCGAGCACTTCGCGACTGTCGGCTTTGGGAAATCGACCACATAGACTGGGTCTATGCAACTCCCTCCATCAGACGGACGCGCGCTTCAGAGAACCGTCGGAGATCGATCGTCGGCGATAGCACTGGTAATCCGGATCCAACATGTCGGAATACGTGGCCGGACCGAGACAGGTGCAGGAACACACGCTCACGCAGTCGTCCGTGTCTTGCATGATTGTTTCCTGAGTAGCCAGGAGCTTGCCGTCCACCACCTCGTCGTCGAACGTTACAACGTGATAGGGATCGGGCTGAACTTCGCTCTCTTCGCGGCGCGCCTCGCCTCTAAAATATTATGTTTTGAAAAGAGAAATTTATTATTTCCTCGCGTTATAATATCCCGTGCTTCGCGAAAGAACATTTATTATCACTCACGTTGTCATGAAGCGCAGCACGAGCAGATTGATACTGGCGGCGACGACCGCCAAACCGAACAGAATGAAAACTAAACTCAGGATCACGTATCCAGGTTTGGTGGAAAGCGCTTGATCGTTCTGCGAACAATTCCAATTTTTGTATTTTTCTAAAATTGAAAACACTTCGAGCTCATCGCAAGATGTTGTTACCCACCTGGAGAGCAACGTAGTCGCCGAAACCTATGGTCGTGAGTGTCACGAAGCAGTAGTAGAAACTGTCCATGTAACTCCAACCCTCGTACTTGGAGAACATCGCGGCGCCCATCGTGATGATTATACTCGAGAGCAGACCGGTCGCCAACATGAGATTCATTTCCGTCGCCTCGTTGTCCCGAAATCCGAGATACGTCTTCGCCCGTTTGATCACGACAGACGCGAATTTGTTCAATCGCTCGCCGATGCTTTGGAACATCACAAGCCCCATGGGGATACCGATCATCGCGTATATCATACAAAACGCCTTTCCCTTCATAGTCACTGGAGTCGAGTGCCCGTATCCTTGAAGAAAATACATTGCGTCAAGGGTTTGTGAACGCACGCGATTCTCACTATCAAACTTTTTGTCTTTACAAATATAGACGTTTTTTTTTTCTTAATCATATCAGATGACTTTTAATTGCATTTCGTAGGAATGTGTTTGGTGTCAGTGTTTTGAACACGTGCTTAAAATTGGCTTCTCGGGAAAATGGTTAAACGTAACGGGTGTTGTTAAAAAAAAAATACTTACCGATCATGGCTAGTACTAGTGTAGCAAAATAGAAGGCACCTGGGAATTTCCATTGCGGTCCCGCTTTGTGTGGTTTATTCTCTATTATTAAAATCTCGATCAGCTTGTAATCTTCAGCCGTGATGTTGTACTTCTTCATCATGATGCTGCGTATATCTGCGGAGACATTTCCCGCTCAGAGCGGCGGAAATAATGAATTATCAATGTGTGTAAAAATATCGAGACGCAGATAGACACGAGAATGAACTCACTCAGCAGATAATCCCAGCGTCTCTTCTCGGTTTTCGACTCGAGGGCGTCAAATATCGCGGCGCCGATCAGGAGATACGTGAACGTGACTACTACCAGCGACAGGGTTCTGACATTCTGTTTCTTCATCTTCGTCGTCCCGTTTCACGCGGGGGAAATGTCACGCGCGTCCGTCGAACGGCGCGCTCTGCACAGGATTCTTCCAACCGATCTCTATTTCTCTCTCTCCCTCCCTCTCTCTCTCTCTTTTTCTCTCTCACTCTCTCTCACTCGTTCTCACGAGATTTCGCCCGACGGCAACGTTCGTCGCGACGATTCATACGGGATAACACATTGTGCACGCCGTGTAAATAAATGTTTCGAAAGAGCGAACGCACGGGGTATCGATTTGCATGACATACGGATGCGGAGCGCGCTTGTCTCCTGCGAATACACGGAACCGCGTCGCAAGGATGTGCGAGACTCACGAGGCAACCGAGAGATACATCTGCCGGCCGGATGCTAGGCCGAGTATTGATCGCGAGACAAACCGGTGGAGGTAGATTCGTTGAAGTGGGGAATACGCCACTGATGGTTTCTTTATGGAGACGAAATGTGATAATCGCGAGCCCCATTGGTAAGCGGCGTCGTTTGTACGGCGTGTGATAACAACGGAGACGGGAACAGTCGAATGATAAGAGGCAGAGATGGTACTGTGTGACGACACAGTAGTAAAGCGCGTGTGTGTCGCGGCAGTGGTTACGCCGGTTACGTCTCGGACAGTAGTCGCACGTCGGTTAGACTCGGACCACCTATCGACATCCACGAGGTCTACGTGACATCAAACCTACCGCTGATAACTCGACAATCTGCACGCATCGACTTATCTGATTTTTCTCGTCTGTTCATGTAATCTATCTCTTTTATCTTCGATATACCAACTTATTATTCTCTATTCAGATAAAATATATTTAATATTTTTTGCGGAGTTTTGTTTAAAAAAAAATTAAGAATAAAACAATTACTTCGCGCGATAAACATAAAACATTTTTTCGCTTAAGTCGCATGTTTCTTGGATGTAATTTATCAAAGATATAAAATATTATACCTTAAAAAAAAAACTACGTACATAATGTATCATATCCATGGAGATATTTTTTTCCATCGGTTTTCTCTTACGTTAGCTCGAAAGAAAATTTAATAAAGAAAATTGTGTGTGTTTAACGTTTCGTTTTTATCTGCTTCTGCAATCATTTTTGAGCGGTCGCTTCTCTCTTTATGACATTTTTAGTAACATTTTGAAGGTCTCGTACGAAAAAATACGTTAATAGTAGGAATGAAACTTTGACCTTTACAGAGAAGTGGCCTCAGTTCATTATCAAAAGCCATAATCTGTCGGATATAAAGTAAATTGCGTGTTTTTTTTGCGTCCATATGAACGTATATACACCGACACACCGAGTGAACGTTCGGAAATGTTATGTAACGGTATTATTGCAAATACCTTGTACGTTATTGACTTTATTAATGTGTTGTCGATTTTCTTTTCGGTTATATTTTCAAAGACATGCAATATCATGTCGCGCTCTCTTGAGAATTGTCATGCTCTCGTTAAGCGGAGTGAAATCGTAAAAAAACTGGGAGAAAAGAAGAAACGCGCAACATAAAGTCGACGAGAGAGAAAGTCGATTTACTTTAAAGAGCTGTAAAAGTATATCGGTTTTGTTTTTTTTCCTTTATCTTTTACTACTTAGATTTTTCCCGCTTCGTTTCTCCGATACGATCGCGGTCTTCCTCTCAAAGTGGATATTACAGAAAAGCTACCGAGGATAGCTACGTATGTTATCCTTACGGAAAAGTTGCGCACATCGTTATTTATGCCATTCGATTTTTGCGGTGATTCATAAACTCGTTTTTTAACTTTCCTCCAGTCATAAATTTCCATTCGTTTTTCTTGCGCGCTCGAGCGCGACGCTCAATATCGTCTCTCTTGCAAATCGCGATTTAGACGAGCTTTCGGGAGTGTATCTGACGTAACGTGTTCCGCAAGAATCCGTCTCCGATGAACGCGACACATACGATGCATCAAACGCGCGGATTCGATTATTTGCATGGAGATAGGCGCGCCCGCTACCAATCTTGTTTGCATAGATAACGAATAACGACCGAAATTGCTGAGCAATAAACGTGTCGCTATTGTGTTACGGGACGATCGAACGGCAGAGACATTGACATTGTCTTCGTGCACACGAGAGACATTTTTATATTGTAAATATTTGTATTTTTATTTTGCTTGTCGAAAGATTTGGACATATCCTGCCTGTTGTGCAAACGTTATTTATTGGCTCTCTTGCGTTCGAATGGTTTACAGATTTCAAGTAGGATAAACGAATCTGATGGATGCGCGAAATTGTTTGTAAGAGTTTTTTGTTCTTGTCACTTTCAACGTAATATTTTATTCTCGTCCATCTTGTCGCATCGAAATAACCAACAAAATGAACAAACGTACGCAAACATACGAGTGTTACATATCGAGAAAAACTTATGTAAATATGTTTGATAAAAAAAGGGTCGTCGAGCCCATTGGGATTATATATCGCAGGATGCTATAAATAGAAATTTCATGTTTGAACGGGCGGGAAAAACCGAACTGATTCAGAATTTGCGTTTAAATAAAGAGAGCGGAGTTTTAATGTTGCGTTTTTTTTTTAAATCAAAAATTTGCAAAATAAAATAATTAAATCAATGCGTTCCGAGAAAATCGAATGAAATCAAAGAAATGAAACATAAAATACAAATCTGTTTCTGTGATTTGATAAAAAGAAAAAAACACGCACAATTTTTCCAAACTTGTTTGAAGTTCTTTCCGCCGAGATCAACAATTTATAACGATCCATCATTACACAGTAACCGTAAAAGTTCGAAGAAGATTTCGCCGTGAAAAGCCAAAGGCTGGGAATAAAGTTGTCCCATCGATGTTTCTCTCCCGCAAAAGGTGCTTCGGAGAGCAACTGACAAATAGCTCTCTTCTGCAGAAGTACGCTCGCTTTGCTGCGATTTCTGTTTACCATGCAGCGGAGTGTTTGACAAACGATTCCGAGTCCCCGCGAAAAAGAGATGATAAAAAGCGTCGATAATTATACCACCATAAATCGTTTCCCGGTGAAACGCGGAAATCAATGACGCGCATTCCGCGCGTTTCATCAAGCGAGACACCGTCTCCTTGAGCGTTGAGCCCTGAAAAGTCCATCGATTCTCCGTGACTGACCAGCCTTGATCTCGGTTTCATTTGACTGCGCGCCGAAAATGAATGAATTTTTCGGTCGTTCCTCTCAGGTCCGGAATTAATGAAGTCGAAAATTCGAGAATACAAAACGACTTTACAAGATTGCGAGCTTTAAAAAGCTGCGGCTATCGAGTGTGATATAATTATATTTTTTTAAATCTAGAAAAATCGAGAATCCTAGAAATTGGTAAGAGAATTAAAATTCTCTCGAGATTAAATTTTTATTTAAGCGAGGAAAAAATAAACAATTCAAAACATATGCAAATTTAAAATGTAGGAAAAACTGCAAAATAAAGTTTAATATAAGGGAAAAACAATAATGAAATATTGATCGTTCGAGCAAATTACTTGAATATTACATTAATTCGTTGAAAAATTGACACAATTTACATGAAAGTTCAGTTGAACCAGTTAAAGCACCGACGAAACATATTATTGGTTTTTTATTTACATGTACATACATATATATATATATATATATATTTTTTTTTGGTCAATTTCTCATTTCTCTTCATCGAGCATTCCAGCGCTGTTCGCCAATAGCAAATGTCCCATAGCGCTGTGTCTCGTATCAATGCACATTATTCGAATTTTACACAATCCAGGCACGTTCAATCCTAGAATCACAGCTGCAGCCTTCGTGCTTCCGCAAGTTATTCGGATTTCGTTCTCTCACAACTCGAACGTATAACACGTATCTCACTTAATATTGCGCGACATTACGCGTACGAACGTCATAAAACATGTCATAAAATAAAAACTTAATCAGGAACATGAGAAACAACGTGCGATTTATGCGCGGGCAGAAAATTCTATGCTCCATATTTTATTAGCAAATCTATTTATAGCACACGCGAGAAATTCAGACAGAAATTGAAGTTTCTTCGGTCTCCGTCTGTTCAACTGTTTATTTTATCATGCGAAAACAGGTGCCTTCCATTTTCATAACATTCGGCCAGTCATTTCAAGCTAGACATTTGCATGATATACATATCGCGCGATGTTTTTTCATATTCTAACATACTATGATTGCGAATAGGTTTTTGCGCGAATGCGAGAGATATAACACGCAGAAGGTGTTTTAAAAAAATGTTCTCTTAAATAAACGCGGAAGAGAGAGAGAGAGAGAAGAGCAAATATAAATTTCCCCAAATAATATTATTCGCTCGACTTCCTTCAATATACAAGAATGTTAAACTCGCGAACACTCTGTTTTCTCAGCAATTAGGTCAAGCGTACAGATGTTAAAATACTCCATGTTAACGTGATACATTCCGCGATATTAACGGACATATGTTGAAACACGCATGTAAATTGTTGTGTTTTAATATCGATTTACATGTAAATATTTTATCGGTAACATTTATACGTTATTTTAAATGTTTAAACTATATATATACCCCGACCATTTATGTTAAATGCACAATTATTTGCGAGCTCTGTCATCCGTATCTAATTACGATAAATGTATTAATTATTTCCCCTCTTTTATCACGGTATATATAATTCGCGTGATATAATTCCGCACACATATATCAGCACAGCTCTTCTATGATATTTATTTCGCGCGCACGCATAAAAGTATTAATATCGTATTAATAAATTTATATTACATCGTATTACATTACACCATCATATTTCTCTTTGGCGAAAATATTACAGTTTTCCGACATTAAGACGAAACTGTCAAAGGAATAAATTACGAAAGCGTCACTCGAATATCCAGATAAACTACTACGAAGTACGAGAGACAGCTGCAATGAGATAATGCAAAAATTGTATAAGCTCAGTGTAGCGAAGAAAAGTAGAGAAGAAAAGTTGTGCATCTCTTCTTTTAGACGTTTTGAGAGAAAATATTTCTCATGCCTGACGATACTCTCCGTACTACTTCTTTAGGAAAATCTCTACCTCATTCTATTTTTATTTGTCACGTTCCCAGACGAGTATTCAGCGGCTCGTAATAATTTATTATATTTTATTTACTATATTTTAATTACTATATTTCTGTATGGTGTATCAACTCTTTGCGCGCGCGTAACAATCTGTTTTTTTTTTTTTTTTTTTTTTTTTTTTTTTTTTTTTTTTNTTTTTTTTTTTTTTTTTTTTTTTTTTTTTTTTTACTTTGGTGTTTTATTGAAACATCGATCTCTCTCTTTTTTTCTCTCTCTTTCTCCCTTTCGAACAGTTCTGTCGAAGAGCGACCGCAGTGACCAAATTTTCGGTTGTACAACTTCACGCCACTCTACTACAGAACTTCAGTTCTAAACCGCCAAACCGAATTGTAGCGAAGCAACGACAATTCTGTTTCGCTTCGATAATTGATTTTAATTGGCTAACGAACTCAAGCGCAATCCGAGTGTTCTCACTTTTAACGTGAGAACAGACTCGAAACTTCTACGTTTAACGTTGGTGCGTTACTGTGGGCAATCAATGAGACTTGCAAGAGAGATTGCAGCAACTTTATCGCCGTTTTTCCATTACTCCGCACCGAGCGAGATTCGAGCGAGCGCTCTTGTTTTCGGCCCGTTAAACGTCAAAGAAAATGGCGAGCGACTCTTTTACGAGAATCTCGTTCCGTCTCTCGAGACACCTTTTTTGAAACACACTTTGCCGTCTCTGACGCGCGCGGTGCACAGTTCAAGCCGGCTTTATTGAGCCAAAGAAGTTTTTGAGAAACCTCGCAGACAAGCTAGTTGGTTTTCTGTAATGATGCACCAACAATCTCGGTGGCGTTATCGACAACGCATTTTATAAGACGATTGTACAAATACCTTTTTCGAAGTCACGCTCTTCATTTTTCAAAAACGGAATTGTTGCGGACGTCCCCGCGACTTTGCAGCGCATTTGTTAAAAAATCAGACGAGAGAGAAAGAGAAAGAAACGATTTCTAAGACGAGCGATTACGTAGGATTTTATCTCGATATCCTATCTTCCTCGACCGCCCTCACGATGCGCTCTTTTCTCTGCACCGCTAACCCCTCCCTCCTCCCGGCTTCGCGCCGGGTCGGAAGCCGTTAAGACGGCGCGGGCGAGTAATTGAACTTGATTTCCTGATTCATCCACGTATTGACCGTATGTCCTTGAATCCCTCCCGTCTCTGGGTTCATGCCACAAGTGTGTAATAAATCACCGGGACTTGATGGATATCCCACGATAGACTGATCGCATCGATGACCTTGGGGGCTTGCACAGAAATCGTTGTATTTTGCACGGTGAGGCGATGAAAGTAAGTCACGTAACGCGATTACCGCGGACAAATGTCGCGCGACAAGTTTTATTATATATATATATAAAATAAGACGACAGAGAAAAAAGTCTTCATTTTTTTTGAAAGAGCGCAGCGCCTTTATTTTAAAATCGATTTTAAACACGGTGAGGCAATTTTGTTCTAACAAAGTTGCGCGCTTTGTGTCTTGTTTACAAGAGTGTTTACTGTTTACGATATAAAAAAAATCGCAAAATATCAAGAAAACCTCATCTCGCTTGATACCGATCGATGGTTTCGTCTCTCGAAAACGTGAGTGTGCGTGTGTGTGTGACGTGTGTACAACGTAGATGCGTACACACTTATAAAAGCATTCAGCAATAGAATTTCCGATTGTGTTCTATCGTTATTATTTCGAAAAACAGAGAAAAACCACAGTCGATGCAATGCTGCATCATCGCATTCAGAAATATCGTATACGCGGCGCATACACACACGCGCGCGCACATGCAGTAGTTATTTCGGGGGAGCTTGAAAGCTCGTACAACACAACTTCGATGACCGAATTAAGTTATAGTTACACACGAGAATACGAAAGCGACACGCACGCAAATATCTGCTTCACGTCGTAACTCTGGTAGATCTCCTTGAATTTTATTAGCGCGCTATTTGTACTCTCTCTTTTCTGCGTTTAGGTCAAATTTGTGACGCGCGAACGCTCATCTCTCAATGTTTATAATTGGCGAATTATTTAAACAAGATGGAGAGAACAATATTAATGAGACGATAAAAACTTTCACGTAAACCGATAAAGTTTAATATATACTCGTAGGTTTTTCTTTTTGAAAACGTTTGTAAACTCTCAGAGGTGGTTAATTAACAACGAGGTATTTGTCACAATTACTCTTGACTCTTGACTTTCAGAAATGAACAATTTTTCCGCGAAGTCTTTCGGATATGTCGAGACGAGACACCGTCTTTCTTTAATTGACGAGAGAAAACTGTAAAAAAAAAAAAGAAGAATTACGTAATTTGATGTCGTCAACGATAAGTTGTTGTCGCAAAATAATAACCGACTAAAGTCTAATTCGTGGATTTACGCAAATTCCATTTTCCGATACTTGCCGATGTGTGATGACTCGAGATTTGCCCAAATGGCATTTGTCGGTTTTTGCACGCGAACATTTCGTTCCCCGAACGAGCAATTCCACGGGGCCTGAATATTAGACCATTAGTTTCGGGGTTTAGGAGAACCGGGCTTGTAATATTCATCTCTTAATCACCCGTAACGTAACATGATAAATTAATGCCTGCTAATGAGATGCACCGTACATGGTTGCAATTACTCAAATTCCTCGCGGCGTACGTTAAAACATCGAATTGAAATTTCTTACAATGTGCGAGATCGCGTATTTTTCTTCTCGAAGTTTATTTCCGAAGAACATATGTGCAGAAGATGTGAATCGTAAAATACATACCAGACGCAGATCTTCGATCTGCGCGCGCGTCTTCGATAACGGAAGCACTTACTCGGATAAACGCGGAATGGAAGAGTCTCGGTTTCTCAAAGTGCTTAAATCAAATTGTCCTCCCGAGATAGTTGACGGGAAAGAGAGAGCGAAAGTTAAAAAAGTTCCACGACAAACCGCGAGAGACACGATGTTATCAGGTAGTGATCGATAATCGCGGAACGGTCGGAAAACTGTGCGACGACGTGTAATGACTCTGTCTCTGAGCCGGGAGGCATCTGCGGAATCGGGCAAAGTTCGCGAAGAACGATCAAGGGTGCGATAAATCGAACAACTACGAATAAGAACGTTATCGGAAACTTTCCGCTCCCTCCTCTTTTGTCGTCAACGTTCATTGTCGAAAGTTTTGCGAACTTCATATTCCAATATCATACCACGTTTACAGATAGAGGGACGCGTAAATCTCTTAAATTCTTAGATACAAGATAATAAAGTAGCATGAAAATTCGAAGACAGATCGAAATTTTCATTTCTGAAATGTATGACGTGCAATCACATATAAAATATCATTGTAAGCTTTATTTAAAAAAAAAACACATGTATTCAGAACACATACTTGCATAGTAGTTTGCAATTTAAACAATAAATTATTATTTTGGAAAATATTTACAAAAACAGAGCACCCTCGAAGGACAATGACCTCGACATGTGTCATCAAGGACACATCCCTGAACAGCAATCAAAAGATTTTAGCCGTCGCTCGTTGTTTGTTAAAAAGTTACAAACAAAAAAGAAGTTGCGTCAATAAACTCTTATTTTTCGACATCATGTACATTTTGTATCATTTTTCTTCTTTATTATTTGCAATATTTTACAATGTCATGTCTGTTGTTATTATAATACACATTATAAATATTATTTTTATCACACTCTCAAGTTTGCCACGTCTATTTAATATTTTATGTAAATATTGTCATCACCGTCATTATCGTTATCATTATTATTATTATTAGTGACATTATCGTCATCGTTGTTATAATTGATAATTATCACTCTAAATCTAAATCTTTCTATTTTTCTTTCTTTTTGTTTTTTTGATTAAAATATAATTTATCACTGTGTGACCAATTCACATACGTAACCTCGAACTGTCAAAATACATATTTTCACTGACAGTTGTTTGCGCTATCGAACAATTGTTCCGAGAGAACCAATCGACATCACGGAAAAGAGGTGATATAATAATCTTCGATTTGTTTACTTTTACGATCTGCTTTTACCTTTCACGCAATGATTGCTTTTCTACCTTTTTTGCCATTTTTTTTGCGAAGAGGAAAAACAACGGAAGAGCATCTTTCAATTTTTATCTGAAGTCGGCGGCAATTACGCGGTCGCGTGTTCTCGTTATATGTGCGATTTCGCCGCGGGAAAGAGAAGCATCATTATCAAATGGCGTCGTCAAAGGGAAAAGCGAGAGACCGAGCTGAGAAAAAACGGATAGCTGAACGGAAGCCGCGAGCTAACGTACGTTCACGTGGCAAATCGACGCGTCGAAAACGCGTCGATACTCCGCGCCGACAATTGCACGATTCTGTCAGTATACCTCAACTGGTCTACGAGCTTCTCACCATCGATAAGTACAATCAAGGTGTGTTACACAATCGGCATCACGCAACAGAAGTGTAAACTCGATGCAAGAGATTATATAAAAAATTTAAAAGGAGATTATATTTGAAATCTATTGTGGACATTTATTGTGTAACCTCTTTTTGAGCAGAGAAAGTTGAGCTTTTAAGATTGAAAAAAAAGAGAATCAAACATATATAGAATATAAAGAAAATTTAAACTTTTAATATAAATTAAATTGTACAATTAAAACACGTATATATACGTGTTTTAATTAACGACGTTTTTAATGTCGTTTTTGCATGTGTGTTTGTTGCCGCAGATGCGAAACGCTTTCAATCTCCGGCGCGTTTCGGGACACCTCATCGAACGGTGCAGAAATATCACGACCGGCAAAGGTTTCACTGTGACTCGACGGCAGCCGGGCATCGCGACATCACGGAATCCGTTCAAGTGCCCGACTACGTGATGGAATCTGGCCCCACGTCCGTTGAGAGTTTGACCGAGCCGATGGATGCAAATAGCTCGGCGCCAACAAGTTCCGCGAACAGCAGCGTGTCAAATATCTCAATGGAACCGACTGCGAATACGCTCGATAACGCCCGAGAACTCTTCGGAAAAAAATCTCTGGTGCAACTGATTAACGGTTACATCAAAGCGGGCATCGACGAAGGTGAATTTTTTATTTTTTTGCTTTTTTTTTTGTTTTAATGAAATTCACTTCGCGCACAGGCGTACACTTGAAAGGTCAATCGGGAGTTATAAAAACAACTCTCCATCTCTCTCGTCAAGTTTAACAAAGTTACTGTAATAATTCACAACTGTTTTACATGCAAGTGTATAAATTTTCCTCTCTTCAACTACGTAATAACGTAACTGTTCCAAATACCGCGACGTTTGAACTGTTTCTTCGACTTCGAGTGAAACAATTTAATAATGTATTATTTTAGAAAATACTTCGAAACACACTTTGGAACGCGGAAACTGAGTGTTTAACTCTTCTTATAGAGAAAAGAAACAAGCGTTGTGTTTTTATCTTTTTCTAACAACTTTATATATATATATTTTTTTTTTATATTTAATAGACGTTCCGACCCGTGATTAGGGTCTTTTTCAGTATATATTAAATATAAATAAAGACGTTATTTGAACCAAAGACCTAACTTTATATTTTTTATGAGCATCACATAATAAACAGATAATCGTTGCGGTAGAGTACGAGCGAAGGGCGATTGGAGCGGATGCGTTGAACGAGCGCGAGTCAAGTGAACGTAGAGAGAGAAAGAGAAGGAAAGAGAGAAAGAAAAAAAGAGAAAGAGAGAAAGAGAGATAGAGAGAGAGAGAGAGCCTGAGCTCGTTTGGCGCATCTGTATCACGGGAGCTATCATTACACGTCGCGCCGTACACGAGAGCGCTCTTGACCGCGAGGTCAAAGTTCTCGAGTGACAAGAGAGACGGGGATTTTCAACGAGCTTTCTCTACGCCCACACGTTGCAGGCAAGCGACAGGCCAAAAAGTACATCCGCAAGGCGCTGTCGTTTGGCGTGAGGTTGGGTTATCTGATCCCGACCGATTCGCAAGGCAACGTCCTTCGGGTGTGTCCGACCCTGGACACGGGATCCTGGAGGTCGAAAAGGGCCGAGTCCAGGGAGAGACGGCGAGTCGCGCGACGAGGCGGAACGAATCCGACGACGATCGACGATCGGAAAGCGATGCGTCGCGGTATCCCGCGGGACAAACCGCGTCCGGACGACGAGGATAATGGACAGACAACATCGAAAAGAGGTAGATGGCATTCCGCTAACAGTCCCGTCAGAAACTCGAACTTGAGGGAGACCGCGCCGAGAAAGACGTCCGAGAGAGACAAGTCAAAAACCGTCGCGAGGAAGAGGTAAATTAGACTTTTCTGAAACAAAATGAAAAATCCGGCATGTTTATTACTCTTATTACTCTCGAAGTTTTCCATTAGACATTTTAATCTCAAGTAAAATAACGTATTAAGTCGCGTTGTATGTGCGCTTCAATTTATATATGCATGTGTGGAAATTAACAGTAATATATCAAAGCGACGATGCAAAATGATTATTACGTTTTCTTGCTAAATTATAATATCGCGCGCGAGAAAGACAAAGAGAGACAGAAAAAAAGAAAGATATATTAATCATCGTTGAAAATATCTTCTTGTATTATTTTGAGTATTAAAGACGGTTTCTTTTAACGAGAGTTTCAATTTATTATCTGTTGTTTATTATAAAACTTTTAATAGACCTGTGCGTAGCGCGACACCGTCTTAACAAGCTTAAACTTGAAGAACGTCTTGATAGATTTAACCGTGAAATGCGNNNNGANAAAAAAAAAAAAAAAAAAAAAAAAAAAAAGAAAAGAAACGGACGTGTATGTCGTGCGATACAATTGAATTTTTCTTCCTCTCGCGTCGTACACTCGTTAGCGTGATGCTCGTGACCCACATTGGTTCACGCTCATACATTCTCCGTTGCACGGAGTGCTTCTATGTTTAGAAAAAGAAAAGTTAATTTTTTCCTTTCCGATCACCGTCTGTACACAGCAAACTCGACGTTAATATTAATAAACGGAGACAACAGCGGAAGAGAGGCGGGATGGTTAGAAAACCGATCAGAAGACGTCGCGAGGTTCTGTCTCCGAAACTGAACGTTGAGAACTACCGCGAGCCAGTTGGGGAAAGTCATAACGATGCGAACGACGAGGATCGCGATCGGCACAAGAGCAACGAGGATAATTACAGGCCGGCTGTCGAAAATTGGAAGTCGACGACGTTAAATCGGGCGGAGGACGAATCGAGAACGGAGAGACGGAAGACCGAAACGAATGTCGACGACGAAACCGAGCGCAGAAACGCCGACGAGAAGCACGGAGAGGAAGAGACAAATTGCGTCGAGCGCAACGCGAGCGACACAATCGGAGAAATAAACGATGCTTAAAGAATCATAACGCCCACCTGGCGCGCGTTCCCTTCTCGGCTCGAGAGGGAAAGGCCGGGAGGAAGATCTTCCTCTTTTGTATATTCTCACTTGTTTTGTAGAGTCAATTTATTGTGCACATTGTTTTGACATTTATTTGGAATTATAGAGCTTTACACAGCAAAAACACACACACAATGTATATCATTCTTTCTTAGTTCATCGCTTTTATATCGGCGGGTAAGAAATTTATGACGGGGCACGAATGTGCGAGCCTTTTTTTAAATATTTTCTCCCCCAAGTTTGTTCCTCTTGTCGGATTGAATTAATTGATACTGTGCGGTTTTCAAAAAGTTAACATTTCTAATAATTAAACATTTGCAAATAAATAATTGCATAATTACACGTTACAAATAAGCGGATGGAAAATTTGATGAATTTTTGTACCAAAAATTTTTCAATTTTAATTTTTTTTTATTTGCGTTCACGACTATTTATCGAACGTAACGTTTACAACCACTTCGGAACTGATGCCCGCTGCCGATTATTTAATCGAACTCGGCAAATTGCTGCTGTCATGAACATTTCAATCACGCTCAATCGCTCTTTCCGCTCATGTGTATATTTCTCTTTCTATTAACCGCATCATGAATTTGCGCATTTTCATGTGTTAATAGAGGTAGGCCTCGCGCGCGATCGAATCTATAATTTTCGCAGAGTACAAATATCACGCGCGAGCAGAGAGTACATAATATTGCCGGTTTCAAGGCAAAACCTAACAACATTTAATTATCTTATATATGTCACTTCATAATGTTTCCATCGGACTTGGCTCGACCGACAATATTCAGCGATTAATCGATCGATTGCGCGAAGAGAATTTGTTATGTAACGTTGTCAAAAAAAAAAGAAAAGCAAGAAAAAAGAAAATCGCTGACGAAGATCAAGATCGGTTGTGTACTTCTCTTCCAATCTCTCCAATGTCTCGGACATTCACAAAGCAAAATTCATTGTTACACAATCGATGGACTAGAAAATTTGGAAAAAATTTTGAGGCAGACGTGTTTTTGACATTTTGTTAATCGGAGAAGCGAACTTTTCCACGCCATCCGAAGATCGAGGAAATATCGGAAACAACAGTAAGCACATAATGGCTCCCATAAAGAGGCATCGAAACGCGCGAAGCCGCCAAGGAATGAGTGAGTGATTTTTTTTTTTAACGCTCCGGAATTGTGACTCTCGCGCAAAAAAAAAACGATATATGCCTCTTTCGAATTCAATCCCTTATTTAATTCAATTTTCTGTTGGCGCAAATTCGCGCACGAATATAACATAAACGTGTAATAAATTTCATAGTAATTATCATGCTAATTACGTGTAGTATTGCCACGTGTAGTTCACTCTTCATTAAATCAATATTATCCAAACCTCTGTTCCGTTCGCGAACCAGAAATTAGAACTGCCTCGTATACGTTATATATGTAATATACATATGATACACGAGTTAAATATGCTCGTGTAAATTAGTTCCTATTATTCGATGGAAATTATTAAACGCAGCTGGTTTGTATTTACAATAAATTGCTCTGTTTCCATAGACATTTTCAATTTTCATAAAAACAATATATCAGACACCAGCAAATTAATATTTGTGGGCATTAATTTGTATGTGTCTGTCGACTTGTTATTTTAAATTATGATGTTGAAAAACAAGACAACAGAAGTTGTTTTTGTATCACGAGAATAAATATCTATCTTGGCCGGTGTGTTAATGTAATAATTTACAGGTCAACGTCGTCGCAAACCGAACATCTGCAAGTTGATCTACAAGTTTCTCGTTACTAATCAAGCTGCTTACGATACGAAATGTGCCGCCAAACATCGTTGGTGGGATGAAGAGGGACACGACGACGAAGAAGAAGTTGTAGAATCCGCGGATACGTTGCAGCGTGATAAAAAGATGGACCGCGGGACGCGCAGGAATCACGGCAAAGTCGCGAAATCGCGTAACCAACGCGCCCTCAAAGATTTACCGATCTCGTACTTGCGAAAATGCGTGGGCGGCGAAGGTACGAAATCAGCGGATAAAGTAACTGTAATTACAGAGATGACAGCAACGTTTTAAAGAGAGAAAGAGAGAGAGGGAGAAAGAAAGATAGACAAGGAGGAACTGTTACTTAAATGTTGATTGCTTCTATAAATATCCTGCAAACGACATTTTGTTAAATTCGCTGTATAAAGTTTCGCGTGCAAACTTTTCGATAACAGCTCTGTAACGGGACACTGCATTTGACGTGTACGTGAAATTTAACTTGCAATCTAATTAAAAAGAAAATACAAGATAGAAAGTTTAATCAGATATGTATATTTTTGAAAAAAAAAAAAAAAAATATTTTGCCGTTATATCTGCGCGCATCTGTTTAATATCGATCTGTTTAATTAAGATTTCGAAGCGAGTCCGTTTTATAAAGAAAGTAGAAAAATATATATAATTTTGCAGAGAACTTATTAAAAAAGATAATTTTTTCTCGAATGAAAGTAAGCGAGTTTTTCCTTTTCGACAGGCACGACGGGAACGACGGCGAGGAAGTACGTTAAAAGAGCGTTGGACTTTGGCGTGAAGTCCGGCTTTCTCATTCCCTCCGATTCATCGTCCAAAGTTTTACGCGTGTCCTCGGACTTAATGAAAAGTGACACGCAGAACAGGATCAGCACGTGCGACAGAGACGCTCTGTCCAAGGATCACGGCATTCCGACCAAGCTCGATGATGATCTGCAGGTGCAGGAGCAACGCCGGAGACGTAGGAGGAGAGGCAGATCAAGGACCCGCTCTAGATCACGCAGCAGACGACGAGGCAGGAGGAGGAGAGGAAGGAGAGGAAGGAGGAGGAGAAGCAGAAGCGCAAAATACAGAAGCCGATCGAGATCGCGCAGCGATACCAAGAACATCGTCAGGTAATTGTCTGACGCTTCAACACGTAGTTGATGTTGCAACGTCGCGTAATCGGTTTAGCGACGCGTTAATCCGCGCGAAATGATGCAATTGAAAATAGAAGATTTTCGAGAGATCGAAACCTGTAATTTTCCTCAATTCGAATTTTTCAAACTCGAATTTTTGCTTGTGCATTACACACAAGTGAGCAAAAGATAAACTTTATTTATTTTTCTTTTAATATTGAAATGAATGTCTTTTCAAAACAATGTCTTTGCGATTTTAACGAAACTGTCTTTTTGTTTGTTTGTTTGTTTTTTTTTTTTTTTTTTACGTCGAATCGCGATAAAAAATAAACAAACGCGTATACAAGTATTTATACGAACGATATAATTTGCCATTTTATATTTTTAACAACAGTTAAATTTAAATGTGAAAGAAGAGAGAGATTATCTTCTCCAACGAGTGTGAAGCATACGTATGATTAGCATTTCTCCGATAATAAGCGCGCCGATCGATGAAATTATTTATACTCGCGCGCGTAATTGCCCCTGTTAGGCGAAATAATTAGAGTCTAGCGTTATAATCGCTCACAGCGCGCGCTGTGAAACGCGGCGTAAGTCGAGAAACGTGATAAAACGATCAAAGGGATTTCCAGCCCGCAGAGTCCCGAAGAGGTGGTCGAGGACGACGAGGCGAACGATTACGAGATGGACGAGAACGATCCGAAGAGCGATATTCACATCGACGGCGTAGAGAGAGAGTCGAAGACCGAACGATCGGGCAAGCACGACGACGACGAGAAGGAACCCACGAAGAAATCCGAGAGAAATCGTTCGGATTTGTCCGCCGACGAGGACGAAAGCGGCGGCGACGACGACGACGACGACGACGACGACGACGAAGATAAAAAGAGAATTGACATTGCAAAATCGTAGCTCTCCAATCACCGACATTTCATATCGACTGAATCGAAAACAAAAACTGAAGCGATCCTTATTTTGTGTTTTGATTTTTTTTTTTTATGATAAATGTTTTCAGCGAAATTTTTGTGCAAACGTCGCCGCGAATATCGTTTGATATTCTCTTTTATCATTTCTGATGTGTATAGTGTCGTGATTTGATTTTAGTCCTTCCACCATCCAATATAACGATAATCCGTTAATAAAATTCACAAGCACACCACATCCGATTAAAAAGCGTCTCGAGACGCGCTCGTAGAATTTTATTTTTCAAGTTTAATAGGGGAAATTTCTCATCCGCTCGCAAAAACGATCTTTGCCCGGGGGGGCGCTATTCCTTTTTTCGACAGCTATTGTCAAAGTCACGTTTTATGACTTTGCGAATTTATATGCGAATTGCTTCAGAGGTCAAACTTCTCCCGCGGATTTACGACAACGAGGAGAGATCGAAGGAGGGTGAAATTCTCCTCTCAAGGTTGTTACGGAGATACGTCACGGTCTCAGAATCTCTGGATGAGAAACGACGATGGGTCGGACATAGGGCGGGCATGCCGATCACGCTATGGTAAGACGCGAAATCTGCGTTCTATATATCGAAATGGAATTCGAAGATCTCGCGACAGAGAGAGAGAGCGGAAATCTCGAATTGCTCGTTGCGCGTCTCCGTGTCGCTTCTGTGCGAGAGCCGGAATCAATTCTGACGGCAATTCAAGACTGATGGCTCGTCCGACGATGTCTTAAATCTCGAGAAAGGGTTTTTTCGGACCTCCGGATAAAAATACCGCATTCGAATTACATTCTTAAATATGTCTCCTTATGGCGCGAGGATAAAAGGAAGAGAACGGAGATGAATGAGCGTCAATATATATAATGGAATAAAAATTTGGCGACGGCTGACGGCTCTCACAAAAGACTCGGAAAAATGTGACTGGTTCGATAGAACGATATCTAGGAAATTCAGTAAGTCAAAAAGTTAACGTTACCCCCCCCCCCCCTCCTCAGCCTGTAAAACGTCAGAGTTACTTTAATCATATTTTTTAAATCGCTTTTGCTTGCTTGAGCAAATGTTTTTTTCCGATTTGTAATTAAATTTACAAACAACATTTGTTCCAGGAAATATTTAACATAAGCCGTTAAAAATATTTTGTTCAAAAGATCTTTAATAATTCCAAAATGCTGCAAAATTTTATTTCCGTATTTTATATATATTTTTTTAAACGAATATAAATTTTAAAAGAAAGGGAAAATGTTGTCAAGATGTTCGAGACTTAATCAGATAAGAAAAACAAACCGCGGACGAATGCGAATCCGAAAGCGAGGATAACGGCAAAAATGGTTCGTGATCCTCTCTGAATTATTCAACGGAATTACTCAACATACTAAAAAGTTGATCTACACAATATTCTGCTATTTTTATTGCTTTGTCTTGTATATCGAACTTCTGAGGATTCGTCGGTAACGCGAGTTACGAAAGTCCCACGTGGCATAATTGAAGAAAAAACCCATTGCTGTTTTTCTCCATGTATGACTGACTGATGTTGCAAAGGGATGATCTTATACGCGCGACGAAAGGAAACGTCGTGTCTGATAAAACTCACGAGATAGAAAACGTTGCCACGTAGCCATAAATCTAAAGCGAAAATAAAGTCGGAGCATATCTGTGTGTGCAAGGATATAAAAAGGAACTCTATTTCCTAATTGGATGATGACCGCAGACGGTTCTCTCTCAATGAGTGATACTCGTTGTTCAATTTGTTTTTCTACGTGTAACGCACGTTTTAATTTTTAGAAATAAGTAAACAAACAGTTTTCTTTTTTTCTAACTCAATATATTGTTACAGGAAATTGCAAGCTAATTGTTAATCTTCACGTGATAAATATAATTGAGTGCGCGAGCGCGCTCAATTTTAAAAAGGACATGCACATTTCATACGGAAACGTATATAAATTTTTCAAGACTTCTTCGGATCGTTCGCTTCGACCGTATAATCCAATGTAGCGCGAGGGATAAAAAAAAAACGCGTTAGAAAAAGAAAAACTGTTCGTGCATTTAAATAATATATTTAATACTCCTCGAAGCGCAAAAAGGCGACGAGTAGCCGTCAGAAATTTGATGTCGCGCGTTAAGTTGAATTTACGTGCATATCATCTGTCGCTTCAAATTTTTCTTTTTTTTTTTCTTTTTTTTTTGAGGGGAAGAAACACACTTACCATTTTCGCAAGTCTCGTGAACGCCGCGTTCGTGCATTTTTAAAGAAAAACGGACGCGGTGAGACGCGGGTGAGCGTCGTCGTTGGAATTTTCCGGCGGGGTTATTTTTCTCCGCGCGGAAAACTGTTTTTTTTTCTCTTCGGAAGGAAAATATCATTTCTGCTAGGAAGTTAATTAAGAAACGGCATTGTAAGCTTCGCGTGCTTATTTTATTTCATTTTTTTCTTTGTAATTTGTCCTTTGCGCGAAATTTACATTGCTCCGAACATATTTCTAATTTCTTTCGCGCGTTTCTTAATAATTGATGAGATTCCCGGGTCTCGGGTTTTGTGCGTTACGTAACTTTGTTGCTCGTCGATCAAGCGCCTGCACGTCGGTAAAATCCACGATGTGTGCCTGTGTGTCTACATGTGTGGAATTCGTACAACTACAAAACTTTATGTAAGTCTTGTTGCCCGTTACGACATAGCTTTCATTCAATTAAACTTGAGAAACTCCCTTCTTCTTAAGCGTTTCCGGTGCACTTGCGAGCTGTGAATCATGTGACCTTGGCTCGCCTCTAAGCACCGAAATACATCACGTCTTTTTGGTACACACTCTCTCAGCTCTCCGCTCGGTTTTATTCTCGCTCGTTTGCAACTTTATCGCGCATTTGTCAAGTTTAATATGTTTACTGTCGTTCTTCTTTTTAACGGAGATAACCGCAAAAACATTCTTTTAGCAAGTGAAAGAAATGACGAGCATTGCGTTAAACGCAATATATTTGATGCGTTTGAAGTTCATCCTAAAGTCGAACACGCCAGATAATTATTTGTCTCTCGCGTGTGTTTACCTAAACTGCGGACTTATACGTAAGGATTTAAATGGGATTCAAATTCTAAGACAAAAGGGAGAGGGAGAGAGACAGGATGCAACCGAGCGCTCCTAATGTTGTTACGTTTTTAACGTGAGCAAAATAATAAATAATACCTCAAACGTACTTGCAGGTTGTTAACGTACATTTTCGTTTTTATAGTTTTTGAAGATTTGTAAATACGACAGAATAAACGATCAAAACGTGCAATCAGCAAAACGCGACCACGTGTACACAAAACGCGTCAGACGGACTCGAATTAGAAGAGAAATTTCAGAATAGTATATCACCTGGTAAGAGGTCTGAAAGTCAACTCTTTCGTCACACAAAAAAGAGAGAAAAAAGACTCAAGTTCCACATAAGAGGTTCTCTCCTTAAGCTAACTATTCTGAAATTTCTCTTCTAATTCGAGTCCGTCTGACGCGTTTTGTGTACACGTGGTCGCATTTTACGGATTGCACGTCTCGTCGACCGCTGCAATTATATTGAACTTAACCGCGAAGAGTCGCGGCGCGCGACCTTGACTAGCCCGTGAACCACAGTCCGAAATTTACGAGCGCTCGTTCTCTGCTCCCTTGTCTTTTTCCATTCTACCCCTTATTCTCGCGGTCGAACTCGCCCTATCTCATTGTCGACCTTCGTCTCGCTTATTGTTGCAAACACACCGTGCAGTGTCCCCCGCTCGCTCCTTCGTCACCGCTGCACACACACGTGAAAGAAGGAGGGGGAATGGCCGAATCGATCGCTGCATCGCAAGTCGCCCTCGACGTGGACGCAACGCGGGAAACGTTTTTCGCTTCGACAACGCCCGGTCTCGTCATCGTCGTCATCGTCGTCGTTCTCCCGTCGTTGTTCGAATGGACGGAGCGAACAATCCGCCAACGATTGCGCACCACCACGTGGACGCGGAATTCGCGCGAGCGTCCTCTGGCCGTTCTCGTCGGCGTCGGCGTCGCGTCGCGACAGAGGGGGCGTCGCGGCAACGACGACGACGACGGCGGCGGCGGCGGCGGCGGGGGCGCCTCGTTGTTGGCAGGCGCACCCACATCTCCCTCGGTTGCCGTAGAACAAGAAGAGAGAATCCGAGCGGCGTTTTCAGTCGGCACGCGGCGTCGCGACGCTACTCAACAACACCGCGTGCATCGCGCCTGGGATCGCGCACTCTCGCCGTGTGCTCGCCATCGCTCAATGATATTGTCGACTTATCCTCACACAAATTGCCCCGACCAGTGACACGTCTTCATCGTCATGTAACCGAGGAGTGCGCCGGGATCGAAAACATCGATGGAAGTTACTATATCACGATCTTCAAGATCGATGACCCTATAAACCCTACGGGTAAGTCAAACGACACGTCTCGATGATTAATTGTCCCGCGAAATAGATCGATACATCTATCGATCGGACGAGTCGAATCTTGCAATCAACGGTGAGATTAATTGGTAAATAAATTAGAGCATAATTAAAAATTCAGGAAGGGATGTTTCCGCGAATGTCGAAAAGCAGATTAAGTGACAGTACTTCCCGGAATCAATCGAGATAATAATTCGGAATTCCGCTCGCGAGAGAGGATTAAGCGTATGAGGATTAAAACAAACACGCTGCACATTGCAGCGAGGGTCTATAGTGTGTCTATTGAAATTTTGTCGATAAATGAAGTATCTTTTGAAGACGTGTTGTAGTGGGCTTATGCGTTCATCGAATTAACATAATGTCTTAACACAATACTCTTCACCCCCAGTTACTTGTAAATGCAAAAGACGCGACACTTGAGCGATGCGCGGGAATAATTTAACACGGTCAACGCGCGTCAAAGAGAGAATAATTTTGTCGTATATAGGCGAGTTCTTCTTGTGCAAATAAAACCTTGCATCTTAATTAATCGTTTTCTCCGGTCGTTTAATTTTAATCGTCCTCTCCTATTTCCCGCTCGTTAATTGACCATTTTGATCCGGTAAACCGACAACGCTTTTACGTTTACGTTCTTTCACACAGAACGCGTGCTTCGCTCACAAATTGCGCTTACGTTGTTGTGCTTGATCAATCAATCTCGTTTAAAAACTTAATTTAGTTATATTCACAGCATTCTTTAAAATTAAACAAACAAAAAGTCGAATAGAGTTTTTGTCCTTCACATCTTATCTCTTTTTATTTTTCTT